GGCTGCCACACCAAGTAGACATTAACGTCTTCGGCTGCTGTATATTACTAAAACCAAAATCTGAAAACCCGTTCCATTTTAATTTAAAAAAAAAAATACTGATAAATCCTCCAGTACGTGTGGTTATTGCCCACCAATTTACAAAGTGAGAACCACAACTATGAGATATTGACAAAATGATACCAATTAGTTTCACTTCATCATTCTTGTCTAACAAAATATTTTCGGCCTTTATATCTCGATGAACAATTCCACGATGATGACAGTACGCAATAGCTGAAACAACTTGTTGGAAATACCGGCGACTTTCTGCTTCAGGAAGTTTTCCACGAGCAGCAAGTACCTTTTCTGAAATTTGATAAAACAAATTACTAGTAATATTATAAGGTAAGATGTAATAAAAAATTGAAAAATTGCACACAACTGAACAACTGATTCTAACTTGAAAAACAAAACAAAATTCATAACACATAAAAGTGGCGACTAGTTACAAAAACAGAAACCAGTGAAGGAACACTTTACCAAACAACTCTCCGTTGCGAGCGAACTCCGTAACAATATAGATGTACTGCTCTGTCCTTATAATCTAAAAACTACTGAAGCGTAGCTTCAAGAACTTGTGATGACACAAAAAGTGATAAAAAAAAAGTTCAAGCAACAACTTAGCGTGCATACTTCATAGAGTTTAATGATATGTGGATGATCTAGTGTCTTTAACACACGAATCTCCCTTTCAACCTTCATTAAATTTTCCTGATCGATCCGATGTTTATCAACTATCTTAATTGCAACCTAAAATTGCAGTTTACGATCAGTCTGATTAGATTCGAAAAACGTAACTATTTACGAGGGAAAATTAAAATATTTATAGTCCCCAAAGCATGAAAATTTAACAATAACAAGACTAAAAGAGACCAATGCGCTATAGCATATCCTGACACTTGGCCTCTCGAAAGCACACGAAAGAGTACTTTAAAATAAAATTTAGCTACTTCACTGAACTAAGCATCTTCGAGCAATGAAGTAATGACAGAAACCGTAGCTGAAAAAGCGAGAAATGTCAGAAATAATTATGCATGCATAACAAGTCTTACCTTACATTTTGCGATCCTATGCCTCGCTAGACGAACAATAGCAAAATTACCTTTCCCAATAGCTTTGCAAATGTCATACAGCCCCACCTTCTGCAAAAAAAAAAAAAAAAAAAATGATGAAGACAATGAACAAGTGAATAATTATCTGATTAAAAAAGCAAGTAAATAAATAAACAAAATAATTAATTAATCAATTAACAAATAAATAAGTAAACAAATAAAGTAACAAAACAAAAACAATAGGAGTAATAATAATAATAATAATAATAATAATAATAATAA